TTATGAGCATTCTAACACTCCTAAGTGTACATGCAACCCTAAATACCTTGGATCTATGTTTTCTCTTCCTAGACATGCAAATATGAACATCCAAGGTATTATCCTAATCTAGCATACAAAATTATCAATATAACAAGATAGAATACATACCTCTTTTGATGTAGAATGTCTTCATGAAGCTTGAGTGCCTAGTGCCCCAAGTGTGACACCTCAAATGGTTCACACAACACCAAATACACTTGGAATAACTTGAGAGAAATCTACACTTCATGAAATCGGCTAGCCCTCTCTAGATCACACTAGTGGCCGATTTTGCAAAAGAATAAGATCTTTATATAGTGTTACAATTAGGGTAAACCCTAATTGTCATGACTTTCCATTTCCTTGGATCCATGGGTTCAAATACACCATGGAGCATCCATGGACCATCCTATGGGTTTTAGCCCAACTTGATTATCCATGGAGCATTAGCCCACTATACAAGTATGGATGATTTACACAATCAACCCATATATTTAATTAGTCTTCTTTTGATCACTTAATTAATCCTAGATTAATTCTTGATCAATACTAATTAAATAATCTCATTATTCTTATTATTAATATACTAGAACTTATAATATATTAATAACCATAAGTGTCTTATTTCTCTCATTATAGTCTATCCAAGTGCATGATGCCATGCAACCCAAATGGACCATGCCGGGTCGGGTCAAGTCTTACCAATTATAGTTATGGACTTAGACATTAATCCAACAGTCTCCCACTTGGATAAGTCTAAAACTATTATTGCGTATGACTTCAGGAACCAACTGGCAATCGTAGCTCTCAAAAGCTTCTGTCGAACTCTGACCTTGTCGATAAACTCTGACCTTTGTCAATGACTTGTCCATTAGATAAGGGATCATATATTCCTCCATTCTAGATATCATATGGACTGAGACATGGATTATAATCATTCTCTCTGTCCATTTGTTGTTTCCCGATTTCCGATTTATGACGACTGACTAATTGAACAAATCAAATCAGTCCTGGCCCGGCCGAGCACTTCCATTTGTCATCATCAAATCATCGAGGGGCCCACAGATATCGCTTTTATCCCGAAGGTAAAAGGAATGGATAAACTTCGACTCATATGGCTTGTTCTACTACTTGTTGAATCATACACAAAGGCACGTTTTATAGCACCGAGTTACCAAATGCGTTTCGTGCAATCAATGTACAACCAACTCATAGTAACAACTCATATCTCTAGGTTTGAAGAATATAAGATATTATCGTCTCATGATCACTCGTGATAAAATCCATGAAGTGATTCCAATGAGCGCGGGTTGAATCCAATACTCAGAACTTATGAGCACTCATGAGTGTTGTAGCCCTTTGTCCAACACCTTAGACCTCTACAAGCCAACCCATGACAGTCTTAATTCATATCTACTTCCAACATATGACCGACTGTGGATGGTTTGAATAACTTAGTCATTCCGGAAGAATAACCTAGTTTATTCGGGAAGTCAAAACATGCAAAGTGAAACACAATAATAATTGAATCCAATATGGTATCAAAACCTATGAACATAAATAAAACACCTTTTATTTATCACCATATGATTACACATTATTCATTGTATACTGTTTCAGCTATCAACTTTATTCTTGAATTTAAAACAATAGTTGTCCCATGCTCCAAGCATGTACACTATGTTTTCTAAACACTAGTCATGCCATACACCAAGTATGCATACTATGTTTGTCTATGATCTTTACTTTGTGAACTAGATCAATTGAACATAACTTCAATGATTCTCTTTTCACACTCCCAAATCCTTACTGCAAATGCAAGAATTCCAAATTCATGTCATTTACTGAAATCTGTTAGATTCTAAACTTATATGCATTGATCCTCTTGTAATGATTATGCACAAATTCACAAAGACTTGCAACAATCATTACAGAGTATTCCAAAGGAGATCAATTCCTTGGAAACATCCTTCTTGCATTAAGTTTCCTTAATCTTACACAGATTGAAATTTCTAACTTTGAAACATTTCCAGATTCCATTTTGACTATCACTTCTGAACAAGAGTTGCCTCCTTACAGATTATGTCAATATGGTCCTTCCAGAATTATCACTATACTTCCAACTGTCCTTGAGCAACCAATCTTTGGTAAACCTTAGATTGTCCTCGACAATTGTTTAATCCTTTTAGTCATATCCAGTTCTAAACCTTTTCCCTTCTTAATGCCCCAGGCATTTGGAAATTTTAGAAAGGATGAATATAGCACATGTAATCGATCCTATATCCGAAGCATATGGGACACGATTCATGATGTCTCACATAAAGACTAAACCAGTCTTTTGCTATAACATTTCCATTTCTATTTGCCAAGTTCTCATAATTCAGATTATGAAAAGGGATGCCGTAATCATAATCGAATTTAGAACGCAAATAATGGACCCATATACAGAATTTCCTTATGTTGAGCCATTCCAACATGAAATTCATATATATTTCCTTGACTAAATGATTAAAACCTCACGATCTAAGCTTATAGATTTGAGATGAAGTATAATTTCCTCTCCCTTAATTATAGCAAAACAACTTTTTCCCAATTGAAACCTTTTGTTTTCTATAATTAACATTGCTAACTTGCAATCTTTATCATAATTATCATGCTCCCACTAACATGATGATTATTAGCATAACACTTATGCTCCCACTAGCTTTGACATGTACTCAGAAATCAGCTGGACTTCTAGAAATCAATACTTTATTGACTTTCTTACCAAAGTTCAGATTTCTGATACTGGATTGTTTTGATAGAACTTTATCAAAATCATACACCTTCCTTAGATAGTACACTGTGTGTCTAAACAATTATGAAGAGGGATGCCGTAATCATAATGGTTAGACCTTTTTGCCACTTCTCACAAGTCCAGGTTAGTGTGCCGGTAAACCACACACGCTCCACTAACGACTTTGAGAATGCAAATATCACAATTGCTATCTATCTAAAATCTACTTAGTGAAAGTGTTTCCTCACCATCATTTTCATGAATCGGAGAGAAACCTTATGACACTTAGATTTAATGGTGTATGTGTTCTTATCCATGTGAATTGTCAAAACCATAGTCACAAGACAAGGATAATGACAAATCCAAACTCATATGGACTGAACTCAATCTTAACTTCTTGCCACCTGGCAGCTCAAGGGCCTGCCATTGCTTCCAAGTTGTTGTGCAACACATTGAGAATCTAAGAACTCATATGCAAAGCCAACTTTAACTGGAATGGGCACAGAATATGTCAACACGATAGGTTATAAACCTCAAGTCGTGTGCTAGTGAAGAACTTCAGGTTTTATTCTTGATTAGTTCTTGAGACTTTCAAGACCTTTAAGACTCCCACTGTCCTCTTGACCTATAAGACTCCCTTGTCAAACATCCAAGAGATAGTGTGGATTCTAATCAAGACAAACACTTCACACAATTGGCCTAAGTTGGTCTTTGTTTTATCCAAAACATCACAACTTACCAATTTCAAATGTACAAGAGTAGAAAACTTTTACTCTTACATTTGACAAGTGTTTTAAACCTTCTTTGAGACATGTCACTCAAGTTACAATCTTGGAGTATGACTCTAAGACTTGTATTGGAACGAAGTATGACTCATCTTCTTGATTTAACCACTTCAACAATTCAAGTTCCTCTTCTTAGTCATAAGAATGCACTAAGATTTTCCTTAGAGAACTAATTTTGATATGGTTTCTTAATCATTAAGATGATCACAAAGCTGATACTAAAGTACTCTCCCATCTTTTCAGATTTGAGAAACTTTTATCCTTCTGCCTAATTTGATTCTTCTTATTCGCTCTGCCTTACATTGGAACCTTTTTCCAATGTCTCAGAATTACACTTAAGCTTGTAAGTATAACCATATTTACTGAACTTTAGTAAATTATGACGAATAATCTTATTGATCTTTTGTGGTGGACTTGACCAGTGCACAAGAATGTGTACTCGATCCCTTAGTCCTTTACTTGACTCACACATCCATGTGAACAAGTAATTAGTCTTAATTTTCCAATACTTGAAAGTTCTCATTCATCATGCTATACAACTTGCATGATTCCAAGTTCCGGTCTAATTGAGACTTGGGTGATGAGAATCTTTCCTTATTTGGTAAATTTAGACATTACCACAAATGAAAGAATCAATTTCATATTTCCACTCTTGCTCTTAATGGAATCATATAAGCAACAATTTTTCCTTAAATGCCATTGTAAGGATATTTTAAAATAACTAAAATCAAAAATTTTATTTTATTTTAAAACTATGCAGAAAAACTTATCCTTACAATCCATATGAAAACTTGTTGTTATCTATTCCTAAGCAATATCTCATAACTCCTAAGAAGTAGCTCAAGAATCTGATCTTCAAACTACGCGATAGAAATCCATCTATGTGATCAGATTCAGCATATTCTTTCTTTAAGTTCCTTCACTTTTCTTTGATTCTTAAAACATCACCATGTGACCCAATCACATCATGTATCAAGAATCTCAGAATAGAAACTTAACAGAGTTAGATAGTGGACTTTACTGAAGTAGAGTCAAACTTATTGACTTTAACATCCTTAGGTAAATCTGGCAGCTTCGCAACTAATGACCCTTCCTTTGGCAATATAAACATATGGACCCTTTGATAATGGTACACGGGACTATTACAGACTTAGCCTTTTCTCTTTACCATTTGGTCAAACTAGTTGACTATGGTCAATTCCTTTCCTTGGGAAGAGAATGCTTTTTCTGTATTTCCAGTGTCACCATTGTCAATGTCCATAAAGTTTCAGGAAGTTGATCTTAGCAAATAGATAAGATCATTAAGGGTCTTGTCATAGTCTGTTTCATAGGTGTTCCAAAAGAACTCACTATGTGACTTAGAAAGTAGTTGAACCAACCACTTGGGTTGTGGTGACTTGGTAAGGCATGTGGAAGATATGGTGGATAACCTATTGACCCATGTTCAAATCCTGACACCACTCAGCCCTTGTGGCCATGGAGGTTCGCCTGCAGTGACTCCAGGGCATGAGGTAAAGCTTTATGTTTGCAACGGGGGATTAGTCGGTGCGCGAAAGCTGGCCCGGAAACCCTCGTTAAGGAAGTTCCCTTTCCAAAAAAAAAGTAGTTGAACCACCAACTTCCTCAAGACTTTGACACCCTTCTCTCCCGACTTGTCAATATGTGACTACATCTCCAAGATATGACCATACCTAGACCTTTACTTGCCAATAGGGCTCGAGTAACCTTAAACTTTTCAAGAACTTGTGGGGTAGGGAAAATAATTGGAGGAGGTGAAAGAAGTATGATTTCCATGGAACATCATCTTCATTTAGGAAAGCTTGTTTCAAGAGATTTGGGAAGATCATAAATGTCTAAACCAGACATGTTTTGGGAGATATTCAAGATAGTTGATCTTAAAGTCCTTAATATGACACCCAATATGAAATATTAAGGCTAGGACCCAACAAACTATTTTATAACTTAGAAGAGGTATGCCGTAATCCAAGCTATAAAACAATTTGAAGGTAGGTGAATGACGATTCACCAATTTCCACCAAGATAAACGAAATGTATTATTAGGTTTTAATTGGTTTTGAAACTCCTAGATCTTTTGAGATTCATTGAACTGTTCAATGGCATGTTTCAATCTCGAGTGTGCCCTTCAGGTTTTGTGACTGGGATGCCGAGGATCACAAAACAAGGTGTGAAGTAACCATGCAAATTACTTGGTACCCTTAAGTGTTTACCCCTCAATCGATGTGCCAGTTAACCACACACGCTCCATCGATACTATGATAAACATTAAGTTACCCTTTGCCTACCTTGTTAGATACGAGTTAGTGTGCCGGTTAACCACACACACTCCACTAACCGACTTAAAACAAAGTGCAAAGTGTAATTTCATGGATTAGCACCTTATTCACGTTTTCCTAAGTAACTAAGATTGGGTATTTATAAGAGTTTAGTTACTTAGTATTTACCATTAATACTTTTAATGAAGGGAGAATTATAGTCCTGTCAAACCCGTTCGGCTAACAACCCTCCACCAGTCAAGCAAGTGGTGGGTGAGAGTGGACACCCATTAAGTTGTCATTTTATAGGCAACAACCTTATACCCACCTTATAGACCGGCTTCGTGAATGAGGCGTACTAGCGGTAAGACTGACTTTACTCTTATACATACATATATATATATATTATATATATATATATATATATATATATATATATATATATTATTAACTTATAATATTATAAAGTATAAGGGTTGAATTTTAACTTTTAAAATTCTAAGGGCTAACTTGGAATTAAAGTATTCATAAGAGAAAACTTTACAAATTCCAAAACTTGAGGGCAAGTTTTGAAACTATTCAAAACTAATTAATTCCATAACTTATGTATTTAAAGTAGTTTTAATCCAAAAACTCTTCAAGTTCCATAACTTGAGGACAAGTTATGGAAGACTTTAAACTAATAAAAGAATTAACTTTTCTTTATTTTATAACTTATGGAATTAATTAAGGTTACATTTTTTTATTTATTATTTAATGAAGAGACTCTTGGTCCTCCATAACTTGAGGACAAATTATGGAGTCATAACTCCAATTAATTAGAACTAGACTCTTCATTTTGTAACCTTTGTCAACTTTTATGAGTTTTATGAAACTTAAATGTGACTTTTCATATAACTTGAGGACAAGTTACAAAAACACATTTTAGAATCAACTCTTAGATTAATTTGGATTGAAAACAACTATTTCACTCAACTTTTCTATTAATCTAAGCAACTCATAAGAACAAGATAATTCAAATCAAACTTTTTCATGTAATTAGTCTAACCTTTAAACTAATACAAAACATGAATCTATTGACAATTATCTTTGAAATTGGATTAACATGAACATTACCACATCAAAAACATGTTTATAAGTTCAAAAACATCTTAGGGTAATGTTCCTAGTCCAATTCCAGCCAAAAAAGTCGAATTTATGCTGTCTGGGGGTCCAACTCGTCGAGTGCACTAACCAACTCGGCGAGTTGGATGCTTTTTGCCTTGGACTCGTCGAGTCCCTTCATGGACTCGGCGAGTCTGCTGGGCAGACAGCATCAAAACTCGTTTTTTCAGCTCCATTTGCAAGTATAACAAGAAAACAAGCCTAGGCTCTGATACCACTGTTGGGTTATGAGCATTCTAACACTCCTAAGTGTACATGCAACCCTAAATACCTTGGATCTATGTTTTCTCTTCTAGACATGCAAATATGAACATCCAAGGTATTATCCTAATCTAGCATACAAAATTATCAATATAACAAGATAGAATACATACCTCTTTTGATGTAGAATGACTTCATGAAGCTTGAGTGCCTAGTGCCCCAAGTGTGACACCTCAAATGGTTCACACAACACCAAATACACTTGGAATAACTTGAGAGAAATCTACACTTCATGAAATCGGCTAGCCCTCTCTAGATCACACTAGTGGCCGATTTTGCAAAGAATAAGATCTTTATATAGTGTTACAATTAGGGTAAACCCTAATTGTCATGACTTTCCATTTCCTTGGATCCATGGGTTCAAATACACCATGGAGCATCCATGGACCATCCTATGGTTTTTAGCCCAACTTGATTATCCATGGAGCATTAGCCCACTATACAAGTATGGATGATTTACACAATCAACCCATATATTTAATTAGTCTTCTTTTGATCACTTAATTAATCCTAGATTAATTCTTGAACAATACTAATTAAATAATCTCATTATTATTATTAATATACTAGAACTTATAATATATTAATAACCATAAGTGTCTTATTTCTCTCATTATAGTCTATCCAAGTGCATGATGCCATGCAACCCAAATGGACCATGCCGGGTCGGGTCAAGTATTACCAATTATAGTTATGGACTTAGACATTAATCCAACACAATGTGGATGAGCAATTAAGATACAAAGAACAATCATAGATATGATGTTTTAGTTGTCTAAAAGTAAAGAATACGCAAAAAGAAATTAAAAGCGAAAAATTACATTTTTGTAGATCTTAAATAGCCATATGTTTCAATGTTTGATATTTGGTTTATTGCTTGAGTGGTTTGATGCCTTGACATTTGGTTTCTTGCTTAGAGTGGTTCGATGCCTTTAATTCACGGGCAATGTATTGAAAGCCTCATTTAAAAGGATGAAAAGGAGGAAACCGATGTTAGTCTTTAGTTTACTCGTTTGTTTAGATTATTTGGAAAGCTTAAAACTGATTGGTTCAGCAGAAAGAGGTGCACTTTGCATATGCTACTGAGCCCATAGTAGTTTACCAGATAAATTAAAAAGTCGACATTCCTAGCCCACCAAGAGAAACCGATGGACGCTCCATTAAATATGGAAGATGATATTCAACGGTTGTGAAAACTGAATGAAGCATAAATCGTCTTTCAACTTTAATTATTGGTTTAATCGGTGTATTTCTCATTTTTAATGTTTATATCTTGTAATGTTTGTAGCTTATATTTTCATTTTTAATGTTTGTAGCTTATATTTTTACTCTGAGTTCTTGATGCTAGTCCTGTTTTAATACATCCACTCTTCATTTATTTTTTAAATCATATGCATTCCTTATATGACAAAAATCTTACCCTTAACTCTTATTCTTAAGGACTAAATATATGGTTTCCAAAGTCATAAGATAAAGTTGCAAATTTCCACATAATCCAAGGACTACTTTCATAATTTATTGTTGGTGGACTTGGTCAAACTCAAGTCAGTCAACTCCTCTAATCGCCAATCCAAGATCGCGGCCTCATAATTTTCAGAATTCACCGCCCAACCACTCATCAATGGCCTCCGATCATCACCAGCACCACCACCATCAACACCGTCCCAACCGCCTATCTCTCCCGCCGCGCACGGCCATCCCGATCACCTCATCCCGCCATTACCCTCCCTTCACTCCAACTCCTACCCCCTCCAAAAATCGCCACCGTCTACCTTCCTTCACCGCCACAAAAAACAAAAAAATCTCTCCGTCATCCCTCTTCCTCCTCCTCTTCTCCCTCCGTTCCCTCTACTCTCTCCTCCCGTTTCTCCAATCTTCACCATCTTCGTTCTCAATCTTCCCTTTCGCGTTCCTCGTCTCTCTTCTCTCATTCCTCCTCTCTCTTTCTTTCTCTCTCTTCAAACAGAAATCCATTTTTACGTTTCATCAGTCGATCACCAAATCCCAACAACGAATACTCTTCGCTAAATCGATTCTGCTCGCGATCGTCTTCCTCATCCGTTTCCAAGCGCTTCGTTACTGCGGTACCGCTGCTATGATCCTCGCGGAAACGTCCGGTTACGTCGCTTCTCATTTCGTCACCGGACAAAATCGCAGTTTCACTCATCTAGATCGGGTTGGTTCCAATAAGGTTCGTGGATTTTTCGCGTTGTTCATCGGATTATTATTATTATCCATCAGTTGGGATCGAATTGAATGTTTCCCTTTCTCTTTTATCAACCTCGGTAAACTAGGGTTTTCCTCTTTTCTTATTGCCAATAGAGAGAAATGCGTTAGGGTTTGGCCAATGCTGCTTCCCTTTCTTTCAGGGTTTTTGAGTGGGTACGAACAAGGGTCTATAAATTGGGGAACAATCAGGGAATTGGGTCGGAAAGAGGTTCGACTGATTTCATTGCTCTACACTACTGCTATCCTCTTTGTCCCTGCTGCCATTAGTATGCTGGTCTTCGAAGCAGAGGGAGACAGTGTTTCCATTCGCACCCTTGGGTGGCCATTAGCAAACACAGTAGTTTTCGGAGTGCTTTTGAGTGAGAATTACACCGATGAGAAGCTAATAACCTTCAAAGATTTCCGAAAAGAGTTTCTTGTCACATTCGTATGCACCATTATCCTTGAGTTGCTTTATTACCCTGAACTTTCCCTTTGGGGATTACTAATCTGTGGTATACTTCTTGGAATTGGTGTGATGGAATTAGATCCTGCTCGTTTAATCTCTCTGGAATTAGGGTTAGAATCATCAGATTCATTTCTAGTTTCAGTCACAAAGTCAATTCGTCACATTATGAGTGAAAGAAAATCAAGAAAGATTGCTCTTTTTCTCTTGATCAATTCTGGTTATATGGTGGTGGAATTTGTTGCAGGTTTTATGAGCAATAGTCTTGGGTTGATATCTGATGCATGTCACATGCTGTTTGATTGTGCTGCACTTGCTATTGGTCTTTATGCATCTTATATTGCTCGATTACCTGCAAACAATCAGTATAATTTTGGTCGTGGGAGATTTGAGGTTTTATCAGGTTATATGAATGCTGTGTTTCTTGTTTTGGTTGGAGCTTTGATTGTTTTGGAATCATTAGAAAGAATCTTGGAGCCTCAGGAGATTTCTACTTCAAGTTTGTTGATGGTTTCAATTGGAGGTCTTGCTGTTAATGTTGTGGGGTTGATCTTTTTTCATGATGAACATCATCATGCCCATGGTGGAGGTGCATCATGTTCCCATTCCCATTCCCATTCCCATTCCCACTCTCATCATCATGATCATGCCCATGTTGGACATGATCATGAAACAGATGGTAAACATCTAGAAGATCACAAACATAAACATGATCACCATCACCATGAACCCCATCATGATCATGATCATCATCATGAACACCATGATCATGATCATCATCATGATCATGATCATCATGAACACCATGATCATGATCATGTTGTCAAAGAGGATAAACAGAAGCAACATCATCATCATCATCATATTGATCACAACATGGAGGGAATATTTTTGCATGTTCTTGCAGACACATTAGGAAGTGTTGGGGTTGTAATTTCAACTCTTCTGATTCAATACAAAGGGTGGCTTATTGCTGATCCTGCTTGTTCTATCTTTATATCAATATTAATCGTGTCTTCTGTGATACCATTGTTAAGAAACTCTGCAGAAGTTTTGTTGCAAAGGGTTCCTAGATCTCATGAGAACGAGCTAAAAACAGCTATAACTAGTGTTATGAAGATAAAGGGTATATCTGGAATTCAGAATTTTCATGTATGGAGTCTTGCAAATAACGATGTTGTTGGGACTCTTAATGTGTATATTTCTGAGGGAATTGATCAGGTTTCTATGAAGGAACAAGTTTTGGATATATTACATGATGCAGGGATCAAGGACTTGACTTTACAGGTTGAATATGTGAGTAGTTAGATGGAAAGATTCCTGCTTTCAAGAATCTTGAAAGGGATCCAAGATTTGATCATAGAAGGAAAAGATGATGACTTTCTTGTTGGGTTTTTCAAGGTTGACCCATGGTGGTGATGGTGGTGGTTATTGGCGGCTGAAAACTGAAATTGTATATTGATAAGGAGTTTGCCTACACGTTTATCAAACAAGTGAGATTGTAATCGGATAGGATATAATCAAGATTTTGGTGAAATTAGAGGTGCATGATTTGGTTAGTTTATGTATACAATGAATTGACAATTGGTGATTTTATGCAACATCAATTGAATGAAAGTAGAAGTTTTAATAGAAATAGCAACTTCTTACATATTTTCTAGTTTTTACACATGTTACATATGGGTTTCTGTGGATGGTTTTTTGCTTGAACTTCCAACATTCTCATATCATTTGCAAAAACCATCATTCTAAAAAAAGTAGTTGTTTCAAGGATTTCAAAGTCTCTTCTTAGCCTATTAAGATGTGCTCTCTAAACTCGATTATTTCCTTTATATTTCACCTTTATTGAATCCCACACCTGTGCCAAATCTACATATACCATAATGTGTGATTCATGGGGTGTAAAATGTACACACAACGACACTTATCATGAATTTTCTATCCAACATCACATTTGCTAGACCATCAAATGTGAATCATGGTACCATAACCATACTATCCTAAACACTCATGTGTGGTTTTAAAACAATTTATAAAACCAAGTGGTTTCAGTTCTAAATAATTTAATAGTTGAAAATACATAATTAAGCCCCCAAAGTCCAAAATATAAGTACTCTTTTCAAAATCCAAGAGATCATCGGTTAATCTAAACCCATAGTTAAAAAATGTAACCACTACAAAAACATGGCCTTCTAAATATCATTCATATCCTCAATCTCTCTTCTTCCAATCATCTAGGCATATATCAAAATACAAGTGTTAAGCTTGAAAATCGTAACGAACATATTTGTGGTTGGATCTTTAAGAGTTTAGATAATGTAGATTATTCGAACTCAAAGTCAAACCTCCAAAAGTAGTTTGTAAAACCGAAGATACTGTTTAGAATTTTGGGGTAATAAAGGCACCTGAATATTCTGAGAATTGTGATTTCACTATCAAATCAAAGTATTTGGGTGGTACTCCCTAATCTTTGATTGGATAAGACTTAGAAGAGATTAGGAATAGAGAATCGGATGTATGAATTTCTTTAGTACAAAAAAAATGACCACAATTGGTTAAATACCTCATTTGTCTAAAAACTGTCATAAAACAGTTTGACAATAGTAAAAAACCGTCATAAATCCGGGTTTTCTATAAGGATTAATACCAAGCCAAAAAACGGATCAAATATTCTAAATTTGGATTTATGATACATTTTCAATACAACAATATATCCCAAATAAAAAACAGTTAGGGGCTCTGCCCCTGTGGGCCCCGACAGGGGAGGCAGCCCCTTGGACCCCGCTCCTAGGGGCGCTGCCCCCGGACCCCTGTTCGTTCATGAGCTTCACCCCTAAATGACAGTCTACTTTTAATCTTGAATAAACTTAAACAAGTGTGCACTCCGCACTTTCCTTACTTGTTTAATATTCATCAAGATTGATTTTGGTCAACAAGTCAAATCATTACACTTAAATACAATTAGTGAAACAAATCACCAACATATACAATATCGTTAAGGAAAGTAGCTTAAACCAAAATAACATTGCTTAAAACCTTTAACATTCCACAAAACAAACAGATAAATAATTAAAGGATGCAACGAAAAATACTTCTAAATCCCAATCCAAGTCAACCTCAACAAACCAAATCTCTCAAGTGCTAGTTAACAAATGCCACATTGTAAATTAGTTAACACATAACACAACTATTTAACCCTTGTCAATTCTGCAAACTAGATACCACTAGACCATCATACTAGACCACATGTGGGGTTGCAAGTCCATATGTTCATGTGAGACTGTCACACCCCCAAACTGAAACGACGGAAATGTTCGGGGGCGGAGGACATCATGTACAATATCAAAACAATGAATAATAATAATTAAAGCAAAAAACAACAATTGTATTAACAATATAGTATTTACATTGTATTCGAATCACAACTGATTGACTCCAAAAGTAAATAGCAAAAACAAAGTCTCGAAGTTACTATGCTCCAACTTCTCGGACCCTGTGCGTGTACCCGTCTACTAGTTTCCTGAGAATACAAGTGGTTTTGAAAGTGTATCAACATTTAAGTTGGCGAGTTCATAAGTATTTTGTTTTAGAAAGTAAGTTCTTTGTTCTTTGAAAATATTAATGTGTTTCTCTAGAAAATTCTATATTTTCTTATTAAGTAAATGACCATACTAGTTCCTTCTACGATTACCTAGTGTATACAAGTTATATATAATTCAGTTTGGATGGACAATTGAATGGGTGAATCTGCCCTAAGTCCACAATCAAACAAGGAACAGGAAATGAGGCGGAAGTCATACATTCCACTGTCTATCGGATCCTTATTATATATATCCCTATCGTATACGCTAGGTAATCGTAGAGTTAATATTAAAAGTCGTTTTAAACATGATGAGTGTGTTCCTTTAGAAAATCTTATATTTTCTTAGTAAAATGGAATGTATTTTTATGCTTAAAGAATGATATATGGCACTTTAAATTCGTATAAGTAAAATGACCAATAATAATTCCTACCATGATTACTTAGTGCATATAAATTATATATAAGCAAAGATCGTACGGACAGTCAAATGTGTGGATCTGCCCTAAGCCCACAACCAAACAAGGAACAGGAAGTAAAGCGAAAATCACACATTCCACTGCCTATCGGATCTTCATTATACATAACCCAAATGTATCCACTAAGTAATCACACCAAAAATTAAGTAATCATGTTTGTTTCCAGAAAGATAAATTGTAAAGTGTTTGTTTGTAAAACAATGATGTTTATCCCCGAAAATCCTATATTTTCCACAATAGTGAGTTGTAGTATTTAAGGTTCCAAGACCGAAAATACAAATATTTTACCATACTTATATTAATAACATGTAATTTTATCATTAAGTAAAACTAACTGAAGATGTGTTTGTTCTATAAACTGGATGAAATGTTAGTACCCTATCATGATTACTTAGTACACACATGATTCTGCCATAAGCCCACAACCAAACAAGGAACAGGAAGTAAGGAGGAAATCACACATTCCACTGTCTACCCGATATTCATTGTATATAACCCTGATGTGTGACATCCCCATTTTTCACAGCCAGAAAAGACCGATTTTGTTTATGCTTTGTTTGAAAATTAGAGTAACATTTCAAATAAAAGTGTTGCAGAATTTGTTCCCAAAATAAAATATTATAAAGATTCATCAAAGCATTTCCAAAGAAATGTATTTCATTAAAAACCTTGGGATGTCGTGTTTGATACAGATCAAAAGCATAAATAGTACAATATAAGCCTTACTACATTTATTCATATCTACAAGCCTATATCTGTAATCTCTCATCCCCAACATCATATTTATGCTCGTACGCCACTACCTGTAATACAAGAAACTGAGTGGGTCAGGCTTGGGAGCCTGGTGAGCACATAGGGTTTTCAACCCACAATAATTAAGTTTATTAACTTTATCAAACCAAACAAGCCTGATTACCTGTTCTTGTTATCCTCATTTTACATCCCTAAAAAATCTAACACAAGGGACCTAGTTTGAGGACTTTCATCAGGGTGACAACACATGCTTCGGGGGTTCCTCAACAATTCATGTCAAATAAGGCAACCATGTGGGGGATGGAGTACTACTGGTGAGCACACAATTCAAATAAACACCTATAGGTTGTGAGCCTGCTAGCGTTCCACTAGACTGTCTAGAATAGTCCGTGGTCGTCATCTATACTCCGCCAGATGACTGGATCATCAATAAATCTATAACGAGGCCTCTTATTATTTTATTTGGTCACACAACAAGTATTACATCTACCCATGTTTTTACCCAACACATTTTGTAGATATAAAATACATATACAGTTTAAATCATTTAAATCATGTATAGAAAATCTTTCATTAGCACAGACAATAAGTATTCAGACAATATGTGAAACAAAGAAAATTAGAAAATTAAACTGAAAACTGCACATATATTACATTCAGGGCTATAATTTATAGACAAGAATAAACATGGAAAGAACTCCTAATCTAGGCGGTGTAGCTATACAAATATTCACATTAAAAATAAAGATTCCCTTTGACATATTTTTAGGGATCAATCATGATTTAGATTTGACTTTCCATTCCAACACTCCCCCTCAAGTTGGTGAATGTATATCCCACATTCCCAACTTGGAAACGTTGCATTCGAAATCTGTTTTCAGCAATGCTTTAGTAAACATGTTAGCTTCCTGCTGCTTTGCTGGTACATAGTTGAGAGAGTGATGGTACCATTCTCTACTCCAGTCTTGATGAAATGTCTATTCGAACATGCTTCATTCTGTCGTGTTGAATAGGATTATGGATAATTGCAATTACGGGTTTACTATCACTATTCAACTTCATTAGACCATCAACATCTATTTTAAGATCTTCAAGAAACCTTTTAATCCAGATTAGCTCACAAATCCCTTGAGATATTGCCCTATACTATGCTTCAGCACTGCTTCTAGTTACCGTAGTTTATTTCTTACTTCCAGGTAACTATGTTTCCCCATACTTTAGTACAATAACCTGTTGTTGACTTGGCATCAGTTGAGCCTCCCCACTCCGCATCAGTAAACCCTTCAATGTTTCGCTGTTCATTTTTCTTAAAAAATATTCCCTTCCCAGGTGTGCCTTTCAAATACCGCATAATTTTTTGAACAACTTCATAGTGTCTTTTTGTGGGAGAATGCATATACTAGCTTACAACACTCACATTGTATGCAATATCAGGATGTGTTAGAGATAGGTAAATAAACTTACCTACAAGGCGTTGGTACTGCTCTCGATCAACTGGAGGGTCATTATCGTTGATTTTAGATGTCTAGTTTCGCTCTTGAGTACTTGCTGGTTTGCATCCAAG